AATTATGAATTATGCAACTCACAGAATTGAATGGGAATTTAAAATATCGTAGTACGATGAGAAGACTAAGAAACAAACAACAATCCTAACAATGTTTTCTCTCATATCTATGATCTATGTCTAAAGTAAATAATAAAAAATTAAAAAGACAATGTTTGGGAAGACAGAAGGGACCATTGGAAAGGGGGCAAAAATCACAGGGTCGTGGGATGATAGATTAAATTGATCAAAGTTGAAACTAAATATGATGCACATATCATAAGAACCTATTCAGCTTTTGAATGCACTATAAATATAAAAATAGTAATATTTTAAAAGGCCACAGACCTCCAGCAAGACTATACACATTATTTTTTGTCTTTTTGTCTTTTTGTTGATTTATTTTTGTTCTGACATGGACTCTCTAGTCACAGCCCACCTGGAACCAGTGTGGCCTCGATCTCTCAGAGATCCATCTGCCTATGCCTCCAGAAGGCTGGGATTAAAGGCACATACCACCAGGCCTGGCAGACTATACTCATTTTAACAATAGGGTGCCCCTTCTTGTGTAATTTGGATGTGTTTTCAATGACATTGTGCTTTCATAGTAGCATTTACCTAAACCATTGTGAAGGTTACAAAAGATATAGCAAGTGAAATATTCAAATGTATAGTTCATATTTCATGCATTCAGTACACATTAGGTATTAATATTCTAATATTAAAGGTTAAAAATTCCAAATAAATAATTTTAGTTAAAAAAAGAAAAACAGAATTTTGGGTCCCTGTGTCAAAAATCAGGTGGCTTTAAGTATGTGGACTTAAATATGGGATATTAATTACATTACTTTGATCAATATATCTGATTTTATGTCAGTACCATGCTGTTTTTATTACTATAGCACTGTAGAACAATTTGAAATCAGGGATGATGATGTCTCCAGCTCTTCTTCTATTATTCTGGTTTGTCAAGGCTGTTCCTGTTGTGTGTGTTTCCATATAAAATTATTTTAATTCCCATGAACAATTGTGTTGAAATCTTAATATGCATTGCAATGAATTTTTATATTGCTTCTTGTAGGATGGCCATTTTCACAATATTAATCTTACTTACCTATGAGCATGGGAACCCTTGGTTATTCATCAGAACTTAATGGTAATTTCCTATTGCTGAAGACACTAAATACATGAATTATAGAACATACCAGGAGAAAAGAAGTTAATGCTGACTTCTAAGTTACATCTTTAGCTAGATCTCATAGTGCAAGAAGATGATATTCATGCTACCAAAAGTGAAAACTAGTAATCAACATTGCCTGGCAGTGAACCCTGTGCTACAATAAAAACCTGACTGATGTAATATGTCCACTGGTGTGTTGGTGGCCTTAAAGTTATGAGAATTACCACAAATTATTAGCAGGATTTAAGGCCCACTATCAAGACTGTGTTCAGGCCTAGGAATCTGTGACTAGACAAGTTATTGGTCATAGAAAAGAAGTACTACTCTTGGTCTTCTAAATGGTCTAAATATTAGATAAACAGCTAATGTCTTCCTTTTATACCCATAGATTAATACATTTCTCAACTCTCACCAGAGAAGCTTCTTGTAACAGATGACAACTAACATAAAGACCCAGAACTGGTCAATGTGTAGGGAATAAGGGTTCCTGAGTGCTTAACTCTGTATGGGAATATATTGTACCCTCTCCTTCTAAAGATCAGGCATCACTCAGGAGGAGAGAAGCTGAAAGATTTTGAGGTGGAGAAATAAAAGGAAACATTTTTTCCAAACAGAAGGGCAATAATTAATAGGAATCCACAGAAATTGTGATGGCATATGCAAGATCTCTCCAAAATCAAGCCAGACAAAATCCTACATGTATGGGTGGGGGGATGTGTGCAACAAGTCCCATCTTTAGTTGAGGAACTCTTGGAAATTGACAACTGCTGGGAGAAGGAGAATAAGTTTTCTCGATGGTGTGATGCTCTGTAGGTTGACGAGGCTCCAGGGCATAGATGCACACTGAAGAACCTTTGGGGACATAAATTCAACTCAGTAAGCCATAATTAAATAATAACAGAGCACCTTAAATTTGGCATGGGATAATAAGGTGAAGGTACACGGGCAGAGACTGTCTGAATATGTTAAGAATACATTATATAAAAATCTCAAATAATTCAATAAAATATTTTAAAACTGAAAGTAAAAAATAAATTAAAATAGAAAGTCAATCGGAGAAGGCCAGACCAGGAAAGTCGATCATCACAGAGCCTCTCTCATGGCTGGATTCTAGCTTTGAAATCTTGGATGTACATGTTTAAATTTGAAAATCCAGAACTGTCAAGAACCTAATAAATGACCATGGGTGGGGGTGAAGGTTGCCTTGGATGGGAGGTTGAATGCAGTGATATAAATGGAGAAATGGACATGAGAGAGTAGGAAGTCTTAAATGGGGTAGGGAACTGGAGGTTAAGGCAGAGGAGGGAGTATGGTTTGCGATAGCCCAAACTAAGAGTCTTTAGAAAAAGCCATGTGAAAATTCTACCACTCTAGAAGCTACTTAATGGATGTCCATATGTGTTATAAAAAGAGATTAAAGGGGGTTATCTTATAACAGGGAGACATTTCTTCTACAAGATACCATATGTTAAGAAAGAAAACCCATGACCAGGAATACACTCTATTGTGAAGATCTCGATAATGGGTCTAAGAGACCCTCAAATAATTGTGGCAATTGCTCCTACTCTTGGTTAATGACAAAAGTTTCATGGTAAAACCTTATCACTCAAGACACTACAAACATGACCTATAGAAAAGCAAGGAGAAATTAAACTGCTCTAACTTCACAGACTTATATCTGTCTACT